GGACTGGCGTGTGGAGAACTGAGCCTCGACAGGTGCCCTCGACTCCATGTCAAACACGCTTAGTGACAGGAGCCAGACACAAGCAGGCACACACCACAGGGTTCCACTTTCATCAAAACCTCCAACAGGAGAACTCACCCCTAGTGAAGAAAGCAGGCCACAGGTACCTGGGCCCGGGAGGGGCACTGACCGGGAAGGAGCAGGACGGGGCTACTTCAGGGGGACAGAAATGTTATCTTGATTGTGACTTGTCAAAAACTCAAGAAGTGGAGTCTGTTTACTGCATGTCAATTGTTCATCAGTAAAACTGTGTTTGTTTGTTTAAAAAAAGGCTAAACCAACTAGCTGGACACCAACAGAAGTAAAAAGAGCCACAGCGAGAAGGTTCATGGTAAACTCCAGAACTCCGAGGACAGCACGCAGGTCAGTCCCTCACACACAGGACTGGGAATCTGGACGGCGGGGCATGTCCCCGATCCCGGAAGAGCGACGCCCCCTCTAGTGCCAGATGGTCTGGGGATGGCAAGGCCCCTCAGCACACACACCTGGGAAGGTACAGCTAAGGCCCTTCCTGGGCAGGGCAAAGAGTGCAGCATAGCATGGAGGGAAGGGTCCCCAAGCGGTGCTACAGACAATACCCAGGGACAGGTGTGCAGGAGGAATTTAGCAGCAGACAACTCATCTGGCAGGACAGCCTGGGAAGTGACCACAGAGACTCCCAGAAGTCACCTGACAGGCTGACTGTGACGCTAGAGTCACTGGCGGGGATGAGGCCCCTCCCCTGGCATCCCAGAGTCATGTATAAAAAGGAAGGAACCCACACAGATATCCTCACAGGGAAACAGGTCAGGATACATGTGAGCTTAAATCTGTACTCGGGTGCAGGCACAGAGCAGGAGTCTGGAAACAGCACCTATGACTAAGTTTCGTGGAGAATTCAGATGCTGTCAGGCATCGAAAAACGGAAGCTGGAGAGAGACCTTGCCACACACGCAGCTGAAGGAGCCCAAGCCTCACTGAACGGGGGCTTCTTTCAGTGGAGAGAACCCTCAGCAAAACGACATCCTCAGGTGGGGGACCCACCGGGGAGAGCAGGGGAGGCTGGCCGAGCTCTCTGGAGAGACCCTTCCATGCCGAGAGTCTCCTCCTGCACCCAAGCCCACACCTGAAGGAGCCGTGAAGGCAGAGAGTACGGGAACTGCCCAGCGAGTGCGCACACCGCACCTGCACCCGCGACTGCACTGTCGGGTGTGACCGAAGTGGTCCATGGGAGTACAGATGGCGGGGACCCGAGGGGAGGGGCAGTCAGAGGCCCTGTCCACCAGAGACAGGGCAGAGTCAGAGGGGGGGCGCTTCCTCAGAGCAGGAGGTAAACACCAGAAAACTGCATTGAGAGGACAGCGGGGGAAACTACACACGGGGAACTACATTTGTACATCAGCCCAGGGCCCAGGAAAAGAGGCAACAGCCACCAGGAGCCTCTTGCTAAATACGGCCAGTGGCTAGTACCCTTGATAGAGAGAGACCTGATCAAATTGGAAACATACCCCTCCCCTCAAAATATGGCCAAAGACATAACCAACAAGCAATTTACCAAAAAGAAAAACTAGCTAAATACATACTCTGATTTATTTTTTATTTCACCCATCCCTTGACCCCCTCCCCTCTGCCAACCATCAGCTTGTTTTCTGTCTATGGGTCTGTTTGTTTTGTTTATTCATTTGTGTTTTTTTCCGATTCCACATATCCATGAAATCATGTGGTGCATGTCTTTCTCTGATTTATTTCACCGAGCATAATACCCTAGAGGTCCAGCCATGTTGTCACAAATTGTAAGAGTTCATCCTTTTTTTTTTAAATCCTCACCTGAGGATATTTTTCTATTTATCTTCAGATAGGGATGGAAGGGGGTGGAGAGAAACATCAACGTGAGCAGGACACATCGAGTGGCTGCCTCTTGCACGACCCCAACCAGGGCCAAGGATGAACCGCAACCAAGATACGTGCCCTTGACCGGAATCAAATCCAAGACTCATTGGTCTGTGGGCTGATGTTCTAAACACTGGGGAAACCGGCCAGGGCAGACTTCATCCTTTTTTATGGCTGAGCAACAGTGAATTATATATATGCACCACAGCTTTTTTTTTTAAATCCTCACCTGAGGACATTTTTTGCATTTATCTTGAGACAGAAGAGAGGGAGGAAGAGAGAGAGAGAGAAACGCTGACATGAGAGAGACACATCAAGTGGTTGCCACTCACATAACCCCAACCAGGGCCGGGGACAAACTGCAACTGAGGTGCATGCCCCTAGCAGGAACCGAACCCGGGACTCTCTGGTCCGTGGGCCAATGCTCTAACCACTGAGCAAAACTGGCCAGGGCTACACCACAGCTTTTTTATCTACTCGTCTACTGATGGACACTTAGGTTACTTCCATATCTTGGCTATTATAAGTAACACTAAAATGAACATTGGGTGCAAATATCTTTTCAAGTTAGTGTGTTTGTTTTCTTTGGATAAATACCAGAAGTGGAATAGCTGAGTTGTATGGCAGCTCTGTTTTTAATTTCTTGAGAAATCTCCATGTCCCATTTATTCTACTCTTTAAACTTCAACTTACCAGTAAATGAAGAAATACAAGTAAAAGAAGACTGCTTTTCACCTTTCAAATTGGCAAGTATTTTTTTTTCTTTATTGAATTTTTAGAGAGAGAGAGAGAGAGAGATGGACATCCATGAGAGAGACCATCAACTGGCCACCTACTGTATGCCCCCACTGGGGATCGGGCCCACAACCTGGGCATGTGCCCTGACTGGGAATTGAACCAGCGACCTCTTGGTGCATGGGTCAGTGCTCAATCACTGAACCACACCAGCCGGGCAGAAAACTGGCAAGTATTTTTAAATAATATTCATACTTGGGAAGACATGCAAAAAAGACACCTCCATGAACAGTGAGAAAAAAAGTACAATCTTCATGGTCAGAAATTTGGCAAAACAAACAAACAAACAAAAAACAATCAAAAGCCTTTAAAAATGAACCTCAGGCCCTGGCCAGTTTGGCTCAGCAGTGAGTGAGCATCAGTCCCTGGACCCAAGGGTCTTGGGTTCGAATCCTGATCAAGGGCATGTACCTGGGTTGCAGGTTTAATCCCTGGCCCCAGTCAATGTGTCTCTCTCATATCAGTGTTTCTCTCTCTCTCCCCTTCCATTCTTCCCTTTCACTCTATCTAAAAAAAAAAAGGAAAAATATCCTCAGGTGAGGATTAACAAAAAAACAATAAAATAAAAATGAACCTCAGCTAAACTACAACCACTGCCCACCAGGAACACGTCGGAGGGAAATAATGGTGACCGACCAGGCAGAATACTGCTGAATGGGACCCTCTCAGACCACCTGAGGGAGTGACCTCACCGCACCTGCCCAGAAAAACCTCAGCTTACAGTCGAATGCCTGGGAAGACTCTAATTGTGCCTTACGTCTACATGTTACACCCAAATTATTTAAAAACTATGAGAATTTATAGCAAACATTATGTTCATAGGTGGTAAGCTTATGAGGAATTTACATTTTGTTCTGTTTGCTCATCCATGTTTTCTAAAGGTCCCGGTTCGAGTCCCGGTCAGGACACATGCCCAGGTTTAGGGCTCGATCCCCAGTGGAAGGCGTGCAGAAAGCAGCCAGTCAATGTTTCTCTCTCTCTAAAAAAAAAAAATCAACAAAAACAGATTGAAAAAAATTTTTTAAAAAGACAAGTTAAAACTTGAACGTCTGGCCACAGGAAGCTCATGCTAGAATTGCAGAAACATAACCCAGATGCGGCTCCTACGGAAGCATGCACCCATCCTGAGCACCACTGTTAACCAAGTTCTGCGGGCACTTCCCACACACACGGTGTCCCGCGAGCCGAGGACAAACAAGGCTGGCGCCCACCACCGAGGGGTGACCTTACAGACACTGCCAAATTCCGAGTCCATAGCAGGACTCAGAGGTCCCTCGGTCCCACTGCTGGGGGTCAGTCTGCCCATCCTCAGGAGTCCCCAAACCCACACCCAGGAAAGAGACCAAGTCAAGGGCAACATCTTAACAACTGCCCGTGTCCTTGACATAGGCCTGGCTTGTCACAGGAAGCCAGCACACACACTTGGCCTGGCTGGCCCGTGCTCTCCACAAATCCAATGGCCACTGATTTTTTTTTTAAATCCTGACCCAAGGATATTTTTCCATTTATCTTCAGATAGAGTGGGAGGGAGAGAGAGAGAGAAAATAAAAGGGAAACATTGATGTGAGGGAGACACAATGACTGATTGCCTCCCACATGACCTCAACCAGGAGACCAGGGACCAAACTACAACTGAGGTATGTGCCCTTGACCGGAATCAAACCCACAACTCTTTGGTCCACAGGCTGATGCTCTACCCGCTGAGCCAAACTGGTCAGGGCAATTTTTATCTTATAAAGCCCTCACGTTATAAAAATACGTGCACAAATGTATCATAAAATAATTTAAAATTTTTTGCACACAACTTCACAAAGAGCTGCTCAATCTTGTTTCCTTTGCTTGATTAACAAAGTGTCACCAACTGATAAGAAGACCTAACAACCAAAAGGCTTTGGTAAGGTAACCCTATAACTATAATCACATGCTACTAAAAATAACCATTCTTCATATACATTGTACGAAAGGTTACATTGTAAGCTTCTAAGTGTAAAATGAAAAAAAGAGAAGACAATTTTCTCTTAATCAAAATGCTGTCTCATGTGGAGCACCTCGTCAATGCACAAGGTGCTTAAGGTAAAGAAAAGGGCTGCCTTAATCTGGACCACAAACTCACCTGCTCCACGCATGCCCCTCCTCCCGTGCTCAGGAGGAACACATCTGCCTGTTCTGACAGCAGCAGACATTTCTGGGTTCAGCACATCCGGCTTGGGTGGCCGGCTCAGGGCCGGGCCTCAGCATGCGTGACACACAAGGACCAGCTATCCAGGTGCACTCACCTTGTTGACCCAGAACACCATGGCGTCCTCAAGGTCGTATGGAAGCTCTTTTGAGGCGCTGAATGTTGAGAAGCGCTTGACACTGGCCACCACCTTCTCGATGCTGATCATCTCCACAGTGTAGGCCATCATGAGGGCGTCCACCATCGCCATGTGGGCACTCTGCAAGCAGGGCAGCAGTCAGTCACCACCTGCCTCTCCCACCAGGTCCAGCAGCCTCCGCTCAGACTCAGACCTCAGCCCTTATCTGCACGCTACCTCCTCAAGGTTAACCACCTTGGTGCCCTGCCGGGGGTGGGGGAGGAGGGGGGCTTCGTCCTCCTGCCTTATTTCCCTGACACTGAAACCACATGCTGCCTTCATGTCATTTCTTCCCAGAACCTGAGTAGCACCCTCTCGACCCACAATACACATCAGCCACAAAGTCCAAGAGCAAAGAGACCACAGAACCTAAGATGCCAGTGAGCAGCCTGAACAAAAGTGATGCCGGAGGCACCCAGAACTGGCTCAGCGGAGAACGGTCCGGGGAGTCAGTGGCGGTTAGGCTTTCAGAGAAAGGGGGGGGGGGGTGCTCAGGGAGAAAAGGCCACCTCTGTATTTATTTTGGCGCAAAACACTTTTACAAGATACACATGACACAATCAAACAGAACGAGCGCAGCAATCACATCTCCTCTCGTCTGCAAGGAGCTCGCCTCCAAACATCGGAGCCTCACCCTGACCGCAGGACACTGCTCTTCCCCACGGCCCAGAACAAGCACTCGGCCATGCGTGACGCAGGCGGCCCCTCGTGCGCACCACCGCGTGCCAGAAGTCCAGGAAAACTTTGCCTTGTCTGTGCAGCTGGACAGCTGGACACAGGACAGGCTGGTGAGCCACACGAGTGCCATGGCACCAGAGGCCATCATCACCCTCGGAAAATGCACACAACATACCGGGTGGGGAGTGAGGAGGTGCGCAGGCCACTCACCATCTTTATGGGCGCGTGGCTGAGGTCAGGGTCCGTCACGGGGGTGTCATCGCTCTCCATCACGTAAATCCCTTTCCGGGACAGGGCCTGGATGACAGACTGGTGTCCCTGTAAGGCGGCTGCCTGGTCCCCTTCCAGGATGAGGCTACAGACTCGGCAGTACAGCTCACTGGACAACAGGAGCTTGATGACAGGCGGTTTGATGTGCTCCTGCTCATACTGGTCGATGTAAAAGGGGTCCCTGAGGTCCTCGGGGATGTTATCTGGGCCAAGGAAAAGGTAACCGTGTGAAAACATTCAAAACAGCCACAGAGGATAGGGGGTGACTAACAGCATAAAAAGACACCCGCTGGTCCCTAAGCCCACTTCCCAACTGTAGACTAGCTCCTCCCACTCCTGGGCACCATGGGCAATGCATGTCATGCAGTGACCGCACCACGTGACCTCAGCATGGAGAGGACAGTGAGGCACACACGTGGTCCGCAGAGAAAGCACCAGGCCTACTGCTGGGACGAGGGCAGACCGTGCGGCCAGCCCGTCTCAGGACTAGGCAGCAGCAGAGTCCACGTGAGCCTCCTACGTAAGCATCACAACAATTCTACCAAATTATACTTTGTCCCTACGTTACAGATGAGGAAACCAAGGCACAAGGAAAGTAAGCAATGTGTCCAAGGTCACCAGAGGCAGAACCAACCATGAACCCACAGTCTGACCAACTGTGTTTATACTGCTCCCCACACAAAAACACCAGCCACTTGTGTACAACTGTGGACACCCACTTTCTGGATGGTGGACATTCTCCCCAACAGCGTCTCTTATGTTTGTTCTGCAAGATGTCAATCGCTGTCCCCCAAAGAGGGACACTCTGTAGGCAAGTACACTGGGAGACACCGAGTTAAAGGGTTTAGCCAATTCCTTTCCACAAGTACCCCCCACCTTAACCTGCTCCGTGCGAAGTCCCCCGCAGTGCTCTTGCACACCCCCGGCCCTGCAGGGCTCAGAAAGCCTAGCACAGCAGGGCCTGTGACCACTGACAGCTACCCACTGTCGATGGTAGTCCAGACTATCACATGAAAATTCCAGAAATGAACATAAGCTTTAAATTACATGCCGTCTGAGCAGCGTGATGAACCCTTGCACTGCCCGCTGTCTTACCAGGGACAAGGGTCCTGTGTCCAGTGTCTCCACACTGTGGACACTCCCAGCCTTAGTCACACAGAAACCAGCTCTGTGATCAGACCAGCAGCCGTGGTACCGTGCTTGTGTTCAAGTCACCCTGGTTTTATTTCCTAACGGCCCCAAACCACAAGAGCAGCGATGCTGGTGCACTGGATGTGCACCCGAGAACCCAGAGTGACGCCCCCTTTTGTGAGAAGGTGAGCATAGGACAGTAAGGTATCTGACTGACAGCGATAATGCTCACAGAACTTCGATCACAGCAGGTTCTCACTGTCCCATCCCTAGTCAGCTCACTGTGCCTGCACAGGACACTGTCACAGGTGTGTATGTACAAGGAAATCACAAGGTCCACAGGAGCCGGGACTACCTGTGGTTTCCGACTTCCATGGGCGTCTTGGGATACATGCCCGGTGGATAAGGATGACTGTGTCTGCAGGAACAGCAGTGGAGGGATCCCCTGACACCAATGCTGAAACACGAGCCCACTGAGTAGGAGCCTGGATGCCCGCAGCCCCCTCCCCATGACCCTCCCCTCTCCCCAAGCTCTCTCCCCTCTCCCTGAAGCCCTCTGCCCCCATCCCCAGGACCTCACCTTCTCAGGCAGGCACCTCTCCCCGACTCATCTAATTAGGGCTTCCTCATGTCCTAACACTTCTCACTCGCTTTCTTATTTCTAACTGCGGCGCAAACATTCATGCCACACTCCAACTTTCAAGCACCTCTGTGCACACCTCACTAAGCAGCTGGGCGGCCCTGCCAGGACACACCCCTGGGCTTGGAGGGCACATGTGGACCACAGCAGAACCCACCCTGAAACCATCTGGACTTCGGAAACAGAGCAGAGTGTAGCAATGATACAGAAGGCCTGGGACAAAGCCTGGTGGGAAAAGCCCTTTCTTGGGAGCGTGAGCAGGGAGCTAAGGGAGGGAAGGGAGCCAGCCCCAGGAACAGACAGAGGACACAGGGTGGGATGGGAGTCAGGGGAGGACAAGCCAGGGAGCCCCATGATCCTGTTGCATTTTCAGAAGTACAGGCCAGATGCTGGGGGAGGGATGCAGCCAGGGTCAGCAGGGCTCCCTCGACAATGCCAGGACCCTCTGCTTCCAGCCTCCTCCTCCTTTTCCTCCTGTCTCTGCTGGCCTCGCTCACTTAAAGGGGCATTTCCTGCCTCACTGCCCAGATGACCTCAGTGAGCCTCATTGCTTAAAGGACCATGTATCCAAATGCACACTCTGACTCAAGCTGCTTCCCTGAGCTCCTCGGCCCCTCTTCTTCCTGGAGGTCTGCACCTGGAGACTAATCTGCCAGTAAGTGAACTCCAACATGTCCCAATCCTGAGTCTCCTGTACCTCATCTCAAGGTCAGGTGCTCAGACCAAAAGCTTCAGCATCATCCACTCTTCCCTTCCTGCCAACCCACTAACAACTCCAGCTGACTTCCCCTCTGAAATGTTCCACAAGATGACAGCTTCCCATCACGCCCCAGCCACCCTTGTGTTACCACCTCCCCTAGCCCAGGCTGCCCTCCTCACCATCCCCTCCCCCCACCCCTCTCACCTGGAGGACAGATGGGCTCCCTTCTAGGTGGGTGGGGACCTGAAAGACCAGGAGACAAAGCTCCCCACAGGAGGAGGAGACAGACAGGCACAACTGAAAGCTGGCCCCCGCAAGGGGAAGAGGGCACAGCACAGGGGCAGAAAGACCCAGCCACCTGAACACAGCCCTAACAAGGCCGCAGAGGACAGCACCCAGGGCTCAGTGTTGCATGGAGCAACTGACCGGGCATGTCATTCACCGACTCACTCAGCAGACCCACAGCCACAGGAAGGACTGAGGACGCCTGTGAATAAGGCAGGCCAAGGTGCTCTGAGGATCCCTGACAGGGACAGGACCAGCCCAGGCAGCCTCAGGGGTTGGAGAAGTTAGAAGACCACGAGATCCTATCTGCTGGGGTCCAGGGCACAAGGATGGAGGACGAGACTGTAGAGCCAGGAGAAGCCATGTTCCCTGGCTAGGGCAGCAAGAAAGGAAGCAGAAAGGATGGAGAAGCAGCAGGTAGGCGTGGCAGTGGCCACAAGGGAAGGAATTCCCACTGGACAGCGCCTGGAAAGCAGGTGGGCAGGAAGCCCCAACTTGCACCGAAACAGGACTGCCTGCATGGGTAGGTATCTGAAGGACACTGGTTTGAGGGAGTGGGGTCTGAGGGACAGCAGTCTGCAGTGACACCAGTGTGTCACTCTCCCTAAATCCGCAGGCCAAGCAAGTGCACTCGCTGGGGCTGGCTGGAGGTCTCAGGAAGGGACGTGGGGGCCTGACAGGAGGGCAGGGTGGAGGGCCACAGGGTTCTGACAAGCCTGAGTTACAGTGGCCGAGCCCACGGGAAAGGGTGCAGTGCAGGGGCAGAGGGCCAGAGCACGAGGTCTCTGGAAGGCAGGGCGGGGTGGGAGCCAGGCCTTGCCCTGCGCACCTCCTCTTGGCCCCAGTGCAAGTGACGGACACTAAGAGGGCCGTCTCATGGCTGGTGAGGACTAGGTCAAGGCATGTGCGGAGGTCACAGTGCCAAGTGCAGAGCCTGGAGCTCAGAGACACCGGCCAGGGCAAATATCTTCTGATGAACAAAAACACTACTTGACTTGGGGTGGTGAACACACAATACAAAATACAGACAATGTATTATAGGATCATGCACCTCAGACCTATATTGTTAATCAGTGTCACCCCAATAAATTCAATAAAAAAGTTTAAAATAATTAAGTAAATTAAAATAAAAATTTAATAATGAACAAAAAACCAACACAAAACTCTGAGAAATCCAGGGGAAAGAGAAGTCCCCCGCACGAAGGGAGACCTGACACAGAGCAGAAGAGGGCCAGGTGGCAGGACACCTTTCGGCACAGTGTGTCCCTACCTGGGCCCACCTCACCACTGAGGCACAGAGGCAGTAGCACTGGCCCAAGGCAAATATGTGGTGGGGACATCATGATGTCATGGAACCCGACTTGATCAACCCTCAACACCCCCACCTCCATTACAATGCCCCAAGTACAAGTTAGGGAACAGCGCTTACCACAGACAGTGCCTGGGAGAGGGACAGACTTCCCAAGGGCAAGATGGGTTAGTAGAAAGGTGATGAGTGGGAAGGGTTGAGCACAGACCCCGAGGCCAGCCAGTCTTCACACACATTTCAAAGACTCACCAGGAAGGCACTGACGACCTCTCCCCAGACAAGCCCCCACACAGACACCCCAGGGCTCCCACTGCAAGCATGAGCACAACCGGTGTAGCCCACACCTGGCCAGGGAGATTCCTGCTGAGACAGACGGTCAGACAGACAGAGGAACTGTTCTCCCGGCAACGGTGAGCGGCACAGCTCGCACCAGTCCTCCCAACACAGAGGCTTCGGGGCGGTACAGACAGAGCACACCTGTGGGGGCTAGGGTGAGCCAACAAGATGGTGAAGGGCCACCAGCTAAGTCCAGGGGGAAACCCTCAATCCAGAGGCCCAACATCCTGACAGGACTCACACCTGAGGGTGTCGAGCCTCCCCAAGGAGCATCTGAACATCAGGAGGTGGTAAGAGGGTAAGTAAGCAGAGTTCTGGCACCTCCCCAGTTCTGAGGACACAACCTGGACTCCAGGGCCTGACGAAGGGAGCAAGGAACCCCCCACGCACCCTGGGCTGGGAGCCTCGGAAGCTGCGCCCTGACAGCAGGCGTGCACCTCAAAAGCGCTACAGTTGGGCTCAGAGCACCCCAGTTTGTGAACTGGAGCAAGGGGACCACCAACTGACAGTGTCTCAAAGGAAATGTAACTTTTTCCTGGAATTAACATGTTAGGCCTCAAATGATGCCTACAACCTTTCAAATACTTTATACATTTAGTACAAGTGAAAAAGAGGCAGGTAGGCAAAATGACAAGGCGTCCTGAAGGAAAGCCAGCAGGAACAGCAAGAGACAGCCGGGCTCACAGACCTGCAGTCAGTCGCCCAGCCTCCCTCCCCTGACCACAACTGAAACTCGGGACAAAAGACCAAAAGCGGCTGCCGGGGAGAGGCAGGACCTGAAGAAGCCACACTTCAGGGTGCT